AGTTCTCTCTCCTGAAGACTGAAAAGCTAATTCCACCCTACAGATACGCTCCTCAAACAAAAGATACTGAAATCTTTAAGTATGCTGTTGCCTCTCTATAACTTCATCAAAGACCTCTTTGAAAGCCCTCTGTAAATCCAAATAACTACTTGAAACAACTTGTTCCCATATTCACCAGCTCGTCTGAAGAACATGAAAGTGCATTACACCTAAAATAGCCAAACCGATGTATCATTTAAAAATCCTAAATGTTCCCTGCACTATTTACTATAGACTTTTTAAAAAAAAAAAAAAAAATCCAAACTCCAATAAACCAAAACCCAAAGCCTATCAGCTGTTATTTAGGCAGAGTTTTAAGAAAAATCTTTATGCTACAGATAATAGTTACACAGTTTCAAATTTCAATTCTGTCAGGACTCTCAGAAGACTAACCTTTGGATTAATTCTAATAAGCTTGTCCGAAAAGGTTTTCATCTACATTTTCTGTGCAGGAAGGGTTCAAGACAGGGACCTTTCTACCTTCCCTTATGATGAACCTGGATGATGTGAAAAACTGGTTTTTTAAATCCAGCCAAAACCCTCATTTTAATAGCATTTCAAAATAATTCACCTTTTTTTGTCCTATTAAGTTCCTGTAGGCACACTTACTTCTGTAATCCTGTGATATTGGTGATATACTCCAGCATTAATCAAGTATCAATTAAAAATAAGTCCATCTCAGAATGCAGGAGTAAGAACAAGGACTTACCAGAGCAAGCTGCCTTACCAAGCATACCATAACTGACCATCCAGCTGCCTGAAGTTATTTTTTTTTTTTAGGTTACCCCACGTTTATTTGCAATTTTCTCCTTTTTGGAATAACAAAATGTGTTGGCATGCCCAGTAACCAAACCTAAGCTCAGATACATCTATGGCAAAACCAAACTACACAAGTTCCTGGTATGAAGTTACAGGTAAAAGCTAAAATTAGTCAAATTAGCTTCTCCTTTTCTACCATGTGACACATCCTTGCAGATAAAGGTAATTAAATTTTCCATTTCATAGAATCACTTAATAGTCTGATTTGTTTTAAATTATCCATCAAACTGCACATTTAAGGAATACACGGCTAGAAATCTGAAACTGCTTTTAGTTTCCTGACAGTCTTTAGGTTCCATTACAATATCGTGATTTAGAGAATTGCAAGGCCTTTGCCATAATAAAAATTGTTCACTGGAATTATGAATACTGCTGATCTTCAAAATAACTCGGTATTTTGCAAGTGTAATTTTTCACAACAGTACTATGCAAAATACATAAAAGTATTTGCAGACATACATCTGTATTTTGTAGGGAGTACATCTGTGTAACATCTATGTAAGGCTCCTCCGCAACACTGACGACAAACTGCCTTCCGATTCTTTAATTCACTTTTGGTTGTTATTGTCATGTAAAGTGGCAAGACACCTCAGATACATGCAAATCCGACTGGGTAAAGAAGATGTTCTGTTTGTTTGGGGGTTTAATTTTTACACTTCTGGGGGTTTGAAATATTATTGCTTAAAAGCCTTGGTTAGCTGGATCCAGCATAGCTATATCTACCACCAAGATGAACCTCTAATCTCATTTAGCTTTTGTATTAGCCTTGAGCATTTGTATTTTGTTATCCATTTTCAGATCGATGCTCAGGGACACTAAAGAAAACCTAATTATGGTAGTTCACCTGTTGTGCCTTTTGTTTTGACATAATCTAGATCTGGGAGCAGTTTCATCTGTTGTAACACACTACAGAGTAGAGAGAAGCTGGAGTTGCCAGAGACAGTCACTTCTGTGGGCACCTAACTAAAGACAGTCAGATCATTTTGTACAATTCAGCTCCAGCCTAGTGTGGCGTATTTTGGTACGATAATGAAAGGGTAATGAAGTCCAGTATCTAGTATATTTTTTGATATCGAAAATATTTTCCTGTTTGCACTTGTCCTCTGCAAGCTCTTGCATTCCATTTCACTTCTAGGGTTTGAGAACTATGGTGAAAATGTCAACTCCTTGCCATTATCACCATGCTCATTCTCCAGAAGACATCCAATAGCAGAAAAAAACTGCAAGTCCTCAGAAAACGACTCGAGCAAAACGTGGCCTGGGCTCAAATGCAACTTAAAGACTTCAAAGTAGAGTGCACAGTACAGACCCACAATGAACATATATTTAAAAAAAACCCAAACTTCTTCATGAAGGGAAGGGGACTTAATGTCTGCTTTGAACATTGCTATTATTTTAGCAGGAGACACAGAGAAAGAAACTGTGGTCTATGTGAAACTGATTCTAGTTTTGAGAAGTATAGATTAACACGCAGCAATTTCATACATTAGGCGTACAAAGATAATGTTAGGTATCTAACATTTGTCAGTCATTTCCCTGGAGTACATCATTTCAAAAAACAAACTGCATCTGCAATATTAGATACGCAAGCACTCCCCAATTTTAATGTTGTAAAATCTTACAGAACTTGAAGACCACTAACTGAATGTCTTGCTGCTCTTCAGTTGTTAAAGTCAGAAGGAAATAAAAAAAAAGGCTTTTCTCATTGCAGTCTCCTTAGTAAGATCAGCATATTAAGCTTAGTCAGAGACAAGGTAGATTCTGGACTGTTACAATTCTGGTTTGGTGGGTTTTGGTGTTCCTGGAGGACCTACGGATGTCGTCTATTTGGACTTCTGCAAGACCTTTGACATGGGCCCCACACAACATCCCAATTTCCAAGTTGCAGAATTACGGGTTCAGTGGGTGGGCTGTTCAGTGGACAAAGAACTGGATGGATGGTCACATGCAGAGTGATAGTCAATGGCTCAATGTCCAGATGGAGGATGGTGACAAGTGGGTCCCTCAGGGGTCTGTGCTGGGACCAGCACTGTTTAATAATGATATTGATAGCAGCATCTAGTGCAACCTCAGCAAGTTTGAGGATGATACCAGACTGGGAGGTGCAGTTGATATGCCAGAGGGATGAGATACCATCCAGAGGGACTGGGATAGGCTGGAGAGGTGGTCTAAGATGAACCTTATGAGGTTCAAGGAGGCCAAATGCAGGGTCCTGCACCAGGGCCGGGGTAACCAGCACTGCCAGTATACGCCGGGAGAGGGTTTACTGGAGAGCAGTCCTGTGGAAAGGGACTTGAGAGTGCTGGTGGATGAAAAACTGGACATGAGCCACCAATCTGCAATTGCAGCCCAGAAGGCCAATTGTATCCCAGGTTGCACCAAAAGAACTGTGGCCAGCAGATCAAGAGAGGTGAATCTGTCCCTCTACACTACCCTGGTGAGACCTCACCTGGAGCACTGCGTCCAGAGGAGAGCCACAAAAATGATCAAGGGATTGGAGCACCTGTCATATGAAGACAGGCTGAGGGAGTTTGGGCTGTTCAGCCTGGAGAAGAGAAGGCTCCAGGGGGACCTTATAGGAATGGACCGACATATGAAGGCAGGGGAAGGTCTATTCAAACAGGTTTGTAATGACAAGACAAGGAATAATGATTTTAAACTAGGAATGTATAGATTTAGACTTGATATTAGAAAAAAAAAAAAAATCTTTAATAGAAGAGTAATAGATCATTGGAATGTGCTGCCCAGAGAGGTAGTGGAGGCCCCACCCCAGCAGTCTTGAATAAGGGTCAGGCTTGATAGGGCCCTGGGCGACCTGACCTAGGTAGAAATGTCCCTGCTTGTGCAGTGATGTTGGTCCAGGTGACCTCTGGAGGTCCCTTCCATTCTAAAACATTCTATAATTCTATGACTTTAGGCTCCACTGCACAATACAGCATTCAAAATTCAATAAGAAGATGAACTGGAATAATAGTTCCTGTCTGTGACAGGAAAATAGCAACATCAGGTTGAATACATTGAAACTGGGTCAAAACCAATGCTTTAAACAAATGTCAGCCAGCATACAGGGCAGATGGTTAAAACGGAAACAAGAATCTGATCAGATCTGGGCAAGGTAGCTTTATACCTTCTTTTAGCTAGGATTCAGTGCACAGCACTTACACCATCCTTTAGATCTATGTGGGGGAGCTGTCTCAAATGTTTCTTTCATGACAGTTGGGATAAAACTCTCAGTTGCATAATAATAGTGTACCCTCCTCCCAGTTTATAACAGATCTCACTGATCATGTGTCAATATGTTGATTTATTCACTTGTCCTTTAACTTAGAGAAATCAAAAACCAAAGACATGTAACCAAGGATTCCAACCATAATATTGTGCATTATTAAAATGAATGATTTAATGACATGTAAGACAATCTGAGTTCAGGCATATATTTGATGTGAAGACTAAGATGCTATCATCACACCTCTGTTAGGGAACAGGAAGCAATGCAGATAAACATGTAATGAGCAATAAAAAAATAGAATTATAATTGCATAATTAGTATATGCGGATGCTGTGTGAGGTACCCAATACTCAGTTCTGACTTAATTTGTGAATATTTAACTGGCTTAGCTTCACTTCTGAAGAATATCACAGAGAAACAAATGCAATCTCAGTCTTTTAGACTAAACCTTCATCATATCCAACACAAAAGCCAGTGCTTTCTATTCCAGTCAGGAATGCTTCAGGAATAATGACAGTATTATTTTGGGCAGAAAGGAGGTTATGTAATATACATTTATACAGAATAGTCTACGTTATACTTAAATGTGAAGCTTTATATATCATACTTTGCTCTTCAATTGACAAATTTCTTTTGTATAGAAAGAAAAAATCACCTAGCTTCTATTGAGAGAATTTCTGTAAGTAAGGCTGATAAGTTTAAACAAGAAAGTGAATATAAAATTACTGTCAAAGATAAACCATAATCTTTAAAGTTGCAGCTGATTTCAAACATTCCTTTTGATAGATTCCCAGTACAGCAATTTTTTAGAAGTATGAACACTCCAAATCTCCTCTATTTATAGGAAAGTTTGTAACAGGTTCAATTGGAGACATCAAAAACATTTTAAATAGACATCACAGGATGCATCTGCAGTTTAAAGGTCAAATTTATTAGGAGATTAAGAGATGTATTATACATGGGCTATAAATATAGCACAGCTGACTTTATTCACAGTCAGATAGCCAATGCCAGCCTACTTTGTAGACACCCTTGTTCTTTTGTTCCAAGAAAAGTTTGCACCATAAGACTTGGACTTAGGTTTTGGAATCTTCCTCTCTTCAACGTCATAACTCCAGCCTGGAGGTTACATGGGAAATGTGGGGAGGGGGAAGACAAGAAACAAAGAGAATTCTAAATATTCTCAGCATACAATACAAAGAAAATGCAACTTAAACCTTTTAACTTTAGCATCTCTTTCTGCATGTAGGTATCCCCTAGTTTATTCCTTTGTAGCTGGCAGCGGCGGATACCAAAATGCCATAGATGTGACATATGCCTGTTCTCTCAGCTGACAAGACTTAACCATACTACGCAACTCTCTTTTCTTTACTCCTGCAAAAAACTTGACAGTCATCAGTGAAGAGCTGAACAGGGAACACAGACTGTCCTGCAAGCTCACGGCTCCACAAGTCCATAGCATCACAGAAGCACTAAGGCTCTGTGTATGCTGGGACAGGAAATGGAAAAAAAGATAAGGAAATGTGGGGAAAATCACACAGAGATCAGTCCCAAATGTTGGGAGAGAATAGAGACCTTTGAAAGTAAGAGAAAAAGGAAGGATGGGAGGACCAGAGAAAGGAATAGCAAAGAAAAATCTTTGGCATTACAAAGGAGTTTAGTATTTAACATTTTATAAAAACATGAAAAATTAGGAGTAAAATAAAAGGGAATGAAGTGGTAGAAGACAAGTAAATTATGTGATAGTTAAGCAAGAGAAATGCTTAAAAATGTCAGAAAAGAGGAGGTGGAGACATCAGTGTTTATGTAAATCAAAATGCAAATTGACTGCAGCCTCCAGGTGCCTGGAAAGCTGCCAGGGCAGCACTCAGTATTCCGAAGTTTGGTCTCTCTAGCTGCAAGATTTCACTCAGAGACACCCGAGTTGAAGCTAGAAGTGGTTAAGTATGCAGTTTCAACTGATACTTCTAAGACAGTACTTCGTTTCCTTAGTTTTAAAACAAAAACTTGGTAAAGTCCCAAAACATCAAAACTTCTATCTGGATTTTTACATTTAAGATGTTCACAGAAACCACTAAAGATACATCTACTCATCAAAACATGTTTTGTAAGGTACACAAGTTGTGAATACACAGAATTGAGACACAGCGACAATACAAATGTCATACAAAGATTTTCTTCACGCTTATTAGCCTGAACCAATGTTAATTTCTAACCTAACTATTCTCCATAAGAAATACTGGATTAGAGGTTTTAAAAACATTCTTTCCATCTGTGAGAGCACTGGCTTTTGCTTTTTGTTCAGATTAAAAATATAAGCAGGAGTAAACAGGCAGAACTAGATCCAGAGACAGACTTTGGTATTGCAACATTCAGCATTCTAACACCTAAGTTTGAGGCCCCTGGCTGCTGGAAAGGAATCTACAGCCCCAACTTATTGCTTCATCTTTTTATATACTCTATAAAGAGGAGCTGAGCGTCTCCAAGAGAGATTTGCAACTGCCAAAACAATGACTTGGACTGCCATAGCTATCCAAAATCCACAAAGTTAGTTACATCCAACTTTGGATTGCAAGAGGCCACTGTATGTGATAAGGTCTCACACTCTGGAGCAGTCTCCTTGAGTTAGGCACCTTCAGTTGTTCGTGACGGAGAGCAGAAGTCACTTTTACAAAAATACCACAATGCTTGGAGAGGTTATTTTTTTCCCAAAACTATGCCATACAAGCCAAGTGGATAGAAAGCAGATTTCATTGTCTCTGGAAGAACACTCTCATCACCTGACTCAAGGTTATTGTGGATTAGAAAAACATCTCTATCCACGTAAGTAAAGCTGTATGTTTTTAAAAAGCTAACTCCAAGATGTCAGACAGGACAAAAACCAATCAAGGTTGACAGGCTAAACTTTCAGTTTCATCCCGTTACAAGTCTTTCCTCCACACCTTGACTTCAGACCATCCTCAGCTGTTCCTATTTTGTACAGAGATCTCTTCTGTTGCTGTATTCAATGCTGTTATTGCTACATTAGAAAACACATCAGACGGGTCAGGCAGAAAGGCAGCTTGCCTTAGGTGAGAAAGAACTCTTAGGTTTCCCAATTGTCTCAAAATACCTGCAATAGCTAGGATTTGCAGCAATTAAACTTCAGGTTCTTAAGGATATTGTAATGGAAAACTTGGGAGGTTCATATGGGAAGAGGGAAGTATTTTTTGTTCCTAGACTTAGAAATGTTTCAGTAACACCTCAGTTTAGAAGCTGAGTTTCATTGTAAATGTGTGTCTACGTTTCTCATTTCTTTCTAAATAAATATTGTAAAATTTATACTGCCACCTACACCTGATTCTGAAGCTATTACTGCAGAAAATGGTGTGCACATATGCACATTAGCCTAAGCCACTTTAGATAAAAATGTAAAAATAATCTAGGAAAGCAAATACCTGAAGAAAAGTTCAGTACATCACAATTCTGGTAAAGTTAAGAGTGTAAGCCAAGTGAATATGGAACTGATATTAATACAAACTCACAGCCTCAGTTTAGTTGATAGAACTTCTTTTAAGCTTTCCTACACAATCAAGATTCATTACGAATTCAGCGCAGCTATAAACTTTCTACAACAAACAAATCAAGTATTTTGCTCTAATCTACTCTTTGAAAGGGCACAATATAACATGTGCAAAGACATGATGAAAGTAGCTCATTAATATAGTGATATATAGGCCAGGCTTCAGTTTGTTTCTCTTATAGGCTGAATTTCCCAAGAACAGAAGTAGCATGTACAATACAGAACCATAAGTAAAGCAACATCATTCTCCCAAATTTTGTAGTTGGTCAAAAACTGTTACAAAATACTATTAAAATTGCACAGTGATCAGTATATTCAATGCAAATATGATGTTTCTATTAATTTCTTAGTGCATATAATTTATTTTTCAATAACATTGAGACTATTAACTTAAAAAAAAAAAGATCAGTTGAAAGAGGAATTAAACACTAGCCTTTACCATTAGAAAGTGAAGATAAATTTCACCATTAAACAGTTTAGCTCCTTAATTGCTTATGTTAATGGACTTAGCCTGTTGTTTGAGTGTACAATGTAAGCCATTTAACAACTCTGCAAAATTTGGTCTGACCGAAACTTTGCTATCTATTTAACCTAGACAAAAAATGGCTGAAAACTGCGGACCACAGGGAAGACTTCTGAAGACACTTATGCTCCATGTGCATTATTCCTAGCTTTAACTCGGTGCAATTAGTCTTCCTCACATCCATGACCACTAAGCATCAAGCATAACTCTTTGGGTTTTTTTAAAACAAAACAAACACCACCACAAAACCCCCCCCACACACACACACAAAACCACCAACACACAAACCCCAAACCACCAAAAAACCAAACCAAAATAAAATGGAGCAAAAAGTTCATACCACCACATAGAAGGACTTCTGAATATTCAAAAGGCTGAGATTATGGATACTGCTTGTGGTACTGTAATTCTGTGAGAAATTACAAGCTTAAATAACCACCTAAGTTTACAGATACAGTCCTTCTGATACAGCATTAGCACTGAAAATATGAACTATTGACACCACCTTTTCTACTGTCTTTTTCTCAAATATGAACAATCACCAGGTGTGGTTGGGAAGAGCTAGGTATAACACTCTCAGTCTGCAGCTTCCTCAAAAGGAAACTTGATCCTTATGGGTCCCTTCCAACTTGAGCTATTCTATGACTCTACAATAAATCATTCTGCAACATGATGAAAACTAGAGTCCAACATACATAGTGTATAGACAATTAATTATAGTTTTTCTGATTATCAAACATTCTCAAGGGTTCTGACAGTGCTTCCTTAACTAGACTTCAGATGCACATGCCAATCCCACTGCCATGTAGCTGGGACCTCCATTTTGGGATGCTCTTAAAGATGAAGTATTAATGTTCATTTTCCTTCAAGACGTATGGAAGGCTCAGTTCTCATCCAAAACACAGATACTTGCAGAAGCATTGCAAAAGCAATGCTAAGAGGCTGGAACACTTTTCGGGAACATGAAAGTCCTAGATTCAACACCTTCAGCAACTTCAGAAATATTCCCTCCCATTTAGCTCCTCCTCCAGTTTCGTGGAATAGAGGGGAAGATAGTTTTCCTTTATTTTTTCTGTTGCTAATACTTTGAGATCACAACTGCCTATAAAAAGTTGAATCCCTCATACCAAATACATACAATACGTACCATTTTTTTCAGCAAAGGCAATGGCATCTTCTTTATTAGAGAAGGTAAGAACCATGTTGGATAAAGGATCAGCTCTGTAAAAAAAGACATGAAAAATTACAAGCACATTTGAAAAATAAAAGAATGATATCTATATCTCAAATGCTGTATTACCACAATTTTTTTTTGTAGCACATGCTTCACAAGCCATTCAAAATCCCTTTATTTTTAATTATTTCCAGGATTAACACTTAGTTTCTGCAGAGTATAGTTTCACTCTTTTAGTCTGTTGAACTTCCCTCCCAACTCCTGGCAGAATTAATGTTCAAGTTTTTTAATAGACAAACATGTCTAACCACCTGCTGAAGTGATAGTAAGTGTTTTGTAATAATCATTTTTATTTTTAAAGCTGTGTTTCAGAGATCAGGAGGCCTAAAATAATTTTTAACATTTCAAGGAGACCAGGAATCTGTAGGGCAGGCAGAGGAAGAATAATCTTATACAGAAAAGAGCAGAATATGAGCAGAGCAGGAATTAATCAGAGACTGAAAAAGTACATAAAAACATCAAAAGTTCAGCTTTGACTGAGGTCACATGACCTCCACAAATTATTCCAGTAAAGCAAGCAGATCACAGGCCACCAATGAAAATTAAGTTCAGAAACACGAACTGCTTGCTAACTAAATACACAGTGGTTAGTTTTAGGTGATCAATGATTCCTCAACTGCATTTCTAAAAGGAATCAAACAGCAAAAACCTTTTTGAAACTAATTAAAATCTCAAGGGAAAAAAAAAACAAACAAAACAAAAAAACAACAAACCCCCCCAAAAAAACCAAACTGCCCTCTTTTTTCCTATAAAATCTCAATTTTAGAACAATGACAAAGGATGAAAAAGAAATAGGGTTCTAGAAAACTAATCTACAATACTTTTAGAGAAATGAGATACCAGTTTTAGCAGCACAGTGGCCCGATAATGCTTCCCTTTGACACCATTGCACATGAGCCTGGGAGACAACTGGGAAGACAAGACCAAATTGCAAGAAACTATTGAAGGAGCTGCCTCTCAACTGTTCTCTCTTTGAAGCTAGAAGGGTAAATGAAGAGAAAATCAACCAAAGATGCACTGAATGCTCTACAATAAAGGACAAAGCCTGTGACTGGTGGAGGGGGAGGGGAAGAGGAGGAATCTAGCTTCCAGCAAAGACAACAATGTAATTTTATCTGATGTACACTTGGAAAACAGAGCTCACTATATATCGTATATATTCCTTAACGAAAAAATAAACCTAACCCAGGATAAAGCAAAAAATTACGCTTTCACAAGCTGCCAAGATGTGAAAAACTCAAAAACATTTAAAGATTTCTCTTATAAAGGCAGTAAAGAGAATTAGGACCTAAAAATTAGTCTGTGATGTGATCAGTGGAAAATCAAGTGACCCAAATATATTGCATTTGTGACAACTTTTGCCTGTTGTTCTTCTCTTCCGTGACTGGGGTTGGAAAAATTTTCCCAGCACCACGAAGTGGGAACAAAACAGTTTAAGTCTGAAGTGTAGTGAGGGACAAGCCTGGCAAAACTTCAGGATGGAGACAGTTTGGAAATCAGGATTGTGCAGAAACTATTTGTTCTGTTTTCATGTGGGATCATCTTTGACCCAACCTAAATACCTATTTTTTCATTTCTTTCCATAAGTGAGCTACCGAGTGTTCAAATCTGTGAGCAAACTGGAGTTCAGGACGGCAAGTGTTATGTTCTGGTGTGAGCAACAGCAGTGCTGCAGGATCCCCTACGCCCCAAACTGCCTTATCAGGCCCTACAAACTGGGATTCCACATTCTGTTCTCTTATGAAAGCTTGTACAGTTGAAACCATGCACTTCCCGTGTTTCTTTGTTTACAGCTTTATGTTAAAAGATGTACCTAAGAACTATCCGTAGGCATCCCTGCAATGAAACCTCACAATCTAAGAAAAATGCCATGGGTCCATTTTATTTAGCTAAACAACTGTGTAATTTTCACCGAAAAAAAAAACAAACCTATATCCAAGAAACAACAAAGGTAATTAAAAAGCAAATGATACTGTAAAATGACAGAAATACACCAAAGACCTACAGGTAAATAAGTATATCGAGTCCAGAGGAAAAGGGCTCTAATCCCTAGACCTTAAAGGGCTCTAATCCACTAATCCCATTACATTATTCAAAAGTAAATGGGAAAACTTCTAAAGTTCTTTGCAGAAGTTAAATCTGAAAAGAAGAAACTCTTCTTAGGTATTTCTGGGTGTTGAAGAGTAATTTGAAACTACCAGGAAGTCCACTAACAGTTTTTTTTGGTGATAATTCCTTGAAAACTTAATAGATACAAACTAGCATACAAACCCTGTAATCTACCAGTGTCGGTTCTCAGCACAGCACTTGTTTTTGGCCTGCCTGGAGCTTGCTTACACTGGAAATACACTTTTCCCTACCCCAAAATAAAAATGCAGGCAGAGATGGATTCATTCAAAACAGACCTTCCTTTCAAAATTTAGTACCATGGCTCATTATTTTAGGTAGTTTATTTAACACAAATGCTTGTAACTGTTAGTAGGGTTAAAATCCGTTGTTTTGGCTGAGATCATGCAAAATCCCACCCAGCAAATAATTTGTCTGGGGAGTTGAAAGTAAGCTGGAAAGCAAAGGGGGATTAGGAGAAAAATTAAATTCACTGTGAACTAAAGCAGGTGTTACTGGCACCTGCTACAGGGTTATAATCTCTGCAGTGGTATAAACAGACCATATTTTAGTGGCTAGACACTTGGAGGGCACACAAGACAGGAGCAAAAGGTGTACTGCTGGTCAACTGTCCATCACTAAATCAATTTAGGACTGGTGAAACAAATCGGCCATTACTTGCTAAATGCAGTAGCTACTTGCAATAGTGAAGTCATCCAAGGCACACATGTATTAAATAATTGAAATCTTATCCTCCTAAACAGCAATTTAAACATGCTTAAGATTAAATGGTGAAAAAAAACCCCAGGACATGCTTAAGATGAGGTCACTCTTATATACAGGCTTAAAGTTTTAAAACAGGTATTTTAACAGACTATTGTAATACAATTAATACTTTAATTAGTACTCAGTATTTTTTCTCTTCTAATGACAGTTGAACTTGGCTTCCCTAGTGCTTTGCAATACAAAGACAAGCAAGACATTACAAGTTGGGAGCCTCCTCAGTTCATTATGATAAACCAATGTAACAGGATGACTTGATTTCAGGGTTACTTTGAACTAATGCTTCTGGGTAAATTTATTTATTTATTTATTTATTAAAAAAATAAAGATCATTCAGTTACTGGATTTTGAATGCTAATATGACTAAAAAAATGCATCCTCCGATTACCTAATATTTAAGTTTTTTTTTCCTAGAGTTTTGTGTTCTTTGATCCTAAGTGCAAATATGACAGCACCCAGACATTTTCAATACGTACTGTACCTTTTTTGAAGTTTGAAAAATATTCTCTAACAGTTGATTCTTGTTTACGTGGAGTAATTAACTTTTTTGAATATGTCCCAACCAAGACAGCTTCAAATCAAAATTACAACATTGTCAGGAGAATTGCTGGCATAGTCCTCACAGTTTACAGGAACTCTAACCACACTGTTAAATGTAGGTAGTTATTGGCTTCTCCTTTCAGAGCTTCAGGATATTTACAAAGCTTTGTTAAAAAAAAAAAATCAATCCAGAATCAAAGTATTATTTATCTTGTGTTTAACCAAATAGCAACTAAGTGCTGAGAAGGATTTACTGTTTCAGGTAACTAACAACCTGCTTTCCCTGATGCTGCCATACAGTAACACAACCACAAATGTAATTGTTTAAATTTCTGGTTGTTAACACTTTTTTCAGACACTTCCAGATCAATGTTGTGCGCTAAAATCTGCTTTTAAACACAACAGATCACTAATCGTACGACTAAAAAACCCAACCACTTACTGTAAGTACTGTTAAAACACAAGTAGATTTACAGGTAGACATTCAAACCAATAAGAGCCAAATACAGAAGAAAAGTATTTCCAAATTCAGTAACTACTCACGTGGATGCCCATCCCATTAGTGGGTTCTCCCAGCGCTCCCTGTTATCAAATTCCATCTTCCATTTCTTTGTGTTGTTAACTCCGGCCTGCATTGCATTACGTGCTGGAACAAAAATGTGAACTTTTCTGGTTTTGATATGCTCCTCTGGAACACCAGTTAAAGCAGTGATATCCTATGAAAAAACACAATGGAATTTGTTAAACAAGGGTTCACGTAAAAGGCCTGTAAAATTATGCTGCTTATGCTTTTTACATAACTTTTGTTTTTTCAATTACAAAAAAAAAAAAAAAAGAAAAGTTAAAAAGTGTGTTACAAGTCAAGTTGTATAAAAGTGAAGGTGATACCTGTTGGGGTTGCTATCGTCATGCTTCCCTTACCTGAACCTGCTCATGTCCCAGCTATACAACTGCCAGTGCCACAGGAGGGACAGGACATTTCTTCCCACCCTGTGACTACAGCTGCAAAGTCACAACTGCTCCAACTTGCACCAGCTCAAGTATGTGCAGAAATGGATAGAGTCTTCTTTCTCCCTTAAATATTAGGGCACAGACTGAGAAACTGACATATCCCAAAATTTTACATTGCTATTAGAAGCCTAATCTTCATATGAACAGGACTGTTCACCAAAGTCCTAGCGAGCCAATTACATGCTGCAGTGCGCTTTCACTTGGGCTTAAGTCTTTATGCAGGTAGGAGACACCAACATCCATGCTGACTCAGGAAGCTATGCTTAGCATGAAGGACATCTTCCACACAATAATGTACTAATCGTTTAAGACTTCAGAGCAGGAACTAAAACTCATCTCTTTTTTCTAACCGTTTGTCATTACATAAAATTGACTCTCTTGTGTTTCAAGCTATGACTATCAGTTTTTGAGAGTCAATTCTTCTGATGATGTTCAAGATCAACAAAGGAACATCTGATGTGAGGAACATTCTTCAGTATTTTTGTGAAGGACAAAACGATTCAGGAGACTCCAACCTTCAAAGAAAAAAAAAAAAAAGGCTTCTAACATTGTATACTGTCAGCAGCAGGATGCCCTCCTCCACTAAGGGTTGGCTTATGAGACCTCAACAAACAAACGTAACAAAGATAAAAACTGAAGGACCACAAAGCCAGCCTAAAAGTATTAACTGACTTTAACAAAGGATAAGATAGGGGAAAAAAACCTCACAAGATTTCTGTGAAAAATTACCCTCAGCAGCATCTGATATAATCAAAGTGAACTTTCTTGTTAAAAACTAAATAGTAATTACATAAAATTAACCTGTCAGTTCACCCTAGTAAAGAGTGAAATCAAACATCAAATCCATCTCTAAGGATGCTAAACTACTCCTGTTCCCCACATACTTAACAGGCCAGTGGGAGCTTCTTGGTCTCCCTCCCTGCCCTCCTTTCCCCTTCTCTCTCCAGGAACAAACAGTAAACTGGTGAAAGTAAAAAAAAGTGCAGCAAAACTTTGGGCATATTGAACTCATCTTTCCAGTACGACCATGACTTCAATTAAAAGGCAAAGAAGTATAAATAAAACACTGTGGCTGTACACGTCTGTCACTACTCACTTTACGGGCTTTTATTTTGTGGCAAAATTAAAAGCTCTCAGTGCTGTCACCAGATCATCCTTTGAAATGAATCAATTCTCATTTTTCCTTTTACTTCAGAAAATAAATTTTAGAAGATCAGTCCCTCAAAACTGCACAAGAGAGCAAGTTTAAAGCATCTGGCTCGTATTTGCAACTAGAAGAGCAGGGTAAACAAACATGCATGCTAATTTTCCAACTTCTGACATTTCTGACTGGACTATGAAATGAAACTGTCAAACTATCTCAACAATTCTATTATAAATGCTTTTATTAGGACCAGGTAATGCTCATTTCTAACATGAGTCTAGCAGTGATATGAAAAACTACCGGTGAGTGGAATGTTGCAACACATATGTAAAACACCTCCTGACAGACTGGCACTTCTGACTGCTAAAGCTGAAACCACAGTTTTATATGGAAATATCTTGAAGTTTTCTTATTTGAATTGGCAAAGTGCTTTGTTTAACAAAAAGGGGGTTTTACCTGCAGTAAAGTTTGGTAGGGTTTCAAGGTTTCATCTTGTCTGTTTAGAGTAATAGGCTACTGTATTAGCCTTTGTTTCTACACTTAACAAACATGTCTATTGAGAAAATGTAAGTACATTGACAAAAATTTGCCTTTTCCCCTCTGAAATAATCTGATACATGCAAAATGATGTCAGAATGCTAGGTTTGTTATCACCAAGTATCTCCAAATATGCAAGCTTCAAAATAGCTCAAAAATATGAATTTTTTAACTACTACTATTCTCAGCATCTCATACGTCCATTATGAATTTTGTGCTTTGAGTTATGGGGTTTATAACTGTTCCAAAATTATCTGGAATTATTAAAATAAGATAGGACATTAAGTAACATTATGGACATAATCAATTTCCTCTTTTGAAGCCTCCACACCAGAGAATCATAAAAATACTACACAGTCGTGCATACAGAACACAATTTAAAAAGACTTATGCCTAGACTTGTTAATTTGGATGAAAATAAACCCAAAACCCCAGATAGACCCTAAGACCCTTCTAAACCATGTTTTTTCGAGCACTCAGTTGGCTCCAAATCAGCTATTTCACTAGTAATATAGGTAATTCATAGGTAATATAGTAATTCTTCCCACAGAAGTCTACTTAAGGTTAAAACTAAAACCTGCATACTTTCTGGAACTAAAATACCTACTAGTCCTAGTTGCTAGTCCTTCATAATTTGATTCATTACAGCTAAAGTTTCTGTGCCTTCTGGGAATCTAGCAATTGTTTATTGATATCTTCCCCATTTTAAAGCTGGCAATTGAACAGACAGTTGTTAGGACAATGAGTTTCTGAAGCCCAGTTGTCCTGACATAAAATCAGTGGTTTTGCTTGCTGTAGACATGTAAGGTACTGTAGCATAGCTGAGCTGTTGCCAAAGATATGGAATAAAAAGGCTTGGCATCTATCACATACTTGACACCTAAAGAGCACAGAAGCTCTAAAATTCCTATTCCCTGTAGGCGCACTCTTAGTCTAGACAAACTGATTTCTCACACTTTTAAAATGCATTACAACACTCTATTGTGATCATTTCATCCACACAGCTCCAGCTAGTGACAGAAGAACCTGTCCTTTAAGCGACATTTCAATGGGCTAAAGCTCCCGCTCCAAGATGCCATTAAAACAATACAATACTTGAAAAGAACTATGCTGCACTGGGTTGAACTCTTTACTGTGTCTTCAGTGCTTTGTTCTGAGTTCAAGTTCTCACTGAAACTACCTGTGAACCAGCTTTCCAAAACAAAGATGTTTTTGACAGCTAGTTTCACATTACTTTTTTTTTTTTTTTTTTTTTTAAGTGTTCCTTACTGAATTTTGCTATATTAGCATATTAAAATATTAAGGAAGTGTTCCGCGTTCAAAATTCTAAATAATAAGTTACAATATAAAAGACCTGAGATTTAAACTGTATAGGTTTGCTTTACTAAAAATTAACAATCCTGCTTCACATTTTTAACACAGGCTATCATCTAAAAGGTGCACTCTGGTATTGTTTTTCTTAATATATGTAGAGGTGGAGGTTTTTGATAGCAACTTTTGAATTTTTTTTCTAATTGACAATTAAAATACTTATTTTGAGCTATTTTTGCTCTTGTTGGAATAAGCTGAGGTCAAACAAAACACTTTTTTTTTTTTTTTTAAACAGCAGAAATCACATCAAAATGCTTACAAATGAAGAAGAGGCTTTGTCTTTATTATAACTTATACTATTTAAGAACACTCATCATCGTGGAAAGCCTGGTAATGCAGTTCTGGGAAGAGTAGCAAGAAATGGTACATGTGCTATGCAGCATGGAGAAAAACTGGTTCATAAAGGCAGTGTCAGTGAAAGCAGTATTGGGCATGAAAATGACTTTTAAACGAAATGAGAATCTCCTTCTTTTAACTGCTTCACTAATAGCACAAATTCCAAAGGGGAGAAGAAATGGAACTCTACAATTC